ATTTACAGATAAAAGTAGAAACTTTTCTTGTTACATTTATATTGCGTAATCCACGACATAATTAAAACACATATAGCGGAGTCGCGAAGGTGATATAGTTAGCAACACGAGCGGCGGGCTTTCCCGCGCGTTGTTATTATTACGAATACGATAGAAGCTGAACTTTCGGCACATGCAGCTGTCTGCTGGACATGTAGAATACGCCTAGGAAGTTTTCAATAAACCGGACAATCTACTGTGCACCACGGCCGCGATAAACTGACAGCGTCCACGCTGTTATAATGGAGCGCAGCCTCTTTATCGCGGTTACGCGACAGTAACATCTCGTCTTGCGGTTATATTTTCGCGGTATCTCTACCTTCGCGTTGCATCCACAAGTTTTCAGATTGTATCCGCGCGATGCTCCTGCAAGTGTAAAACACGTGAGCACGAACAAACCAGGGCAATAATATAGAAAAGCTTGTTTAGAATGTTTTGAAGATAAAATCAAATTCGCACTGAAGGAATTAGAACATAAAATTTTATTACGAGAGAGACAGACTTCAATTTTAAAAGAGTGATAAGAAATAATTTTATTTAAATTTAATAGTTGATTTCAATCTGCTTTTTAGATTGTTAAAATTTATCAAACTATTATTAATTACTTAATAAAGGAGAAAAGGTCTTATTAAGGAAGCTATTGCGATTACAGCAAATTAGATGGTAAAATATGGTATAATATTTTTAATTGACTTTAACAGCCAATTTTTGGTTATGTTAGCCTATTCGCAATGTCAGTATAGGATTTCAAGAGGCTAACACAATAGAAAATTGGCTGTTCCAATTAAAAATGCTACGTCACATTTTACCATTTAATTTGTTGCAGCAGTTGATCCTTTTTTTCAGTGTAGGCAATCCTTATAAACGTTTTTATCATTTCTGATCCTTTTGAATTTATGCGAGATGACCTTTTATGGGTGAATATTCATGTTTAAAGAAGTAGTTAATGCTCTTTAACCTTTCATAAAAATTACAAAGAATTAATCCGGCGATTCTCTCCCTCCCTCCCTCCTATCCCTCCTCTCTCTCTCTCTCTCTCTCTCCCTCTCTTTTTTCTTCTGTCTCATATTTGCGCACGATAGGCTTGTTAACGAGCGGATTGATCGATTGTTTTGTACGGGATAATTATCGGTTGTGCTTAACAAGCGAACGTGCGCGCAAGGCGCACGTAAGGCAGAACGCAAAACGTACCTTCTAATCTCATTATTTCGCAATTACGCGATTGCCGATCTCACGACGCGTTCGGCACGCACACGATTTTATCCATCTCGATGTCCGGACGCCTCTCAGGTCCTAAATTAGTCTCTAATTAATCCATGTCAAAGGAAATGATCGCGACAAATCTCCGTCTGTGGACGATAGATAAATATTCATGAGCCGGTTGGACGCATAATCCATGACTTCGCTCGAAAGAGACTCGTGCTACATTTTTAGATATCAAAGAAGCAATAGTAACTCAATCCCTTGAGTTAAATGATATTTTATTATTTTTTATTCATGTGTCTCAAAATGTAAATCAATTTATTTCTATAATTATAGTTTTAAAGTAAACAACGTCCACATTATTTATATACTAAGCATACACTTAGTAAATAATACCCAAAATAAATGTGAATCAAATTTAATAAATGTTACGAATTAAATTGTTTAATTCCATTGTTTTAGTTAAATTAAAGACACATTGAGTCAGATGACCTATAAATAATTCAAATATAATCTAATTTAATATTATAAATTTAACAGTGTAAATTAAAGAGAATAAACTAAGAAAAAGAACTCTTTAGTTTAAAAATAAAACTAAAAATAATTTTATAATAAGAATAAATCAAATGTAAGTAAAATGTCTGAGCTTCTACTGTTGTTGGTGTGTAAATAATATATTTACAAATACAAACATTTATAAATTAATATATTATAGTATAAGTATAATAATATATTTATTATTATACTTATTATATTTATTAATAAAACATTTATAAATATAACTTAAAAACAATCAGAATGAACTGAAATGTTTTGACTCTAAATTTGAGGCTCATCTTACTTGTATTTGATTTATTCTTGAGAGAGCTACAAAATTATTTTTATTTTTATTAAACTAAAGAATATTTTCTCAAAGATATGTTGTCTATCGCGCGATGGAAGGAAATATTTCACCGTGAAGGAAATTTCGCCTCTCACGTTTTTCTCAATGTGCAATAATGCGAGGTCGAGTCAAATCTCCACACTTCGCGGTTGCATTCTTACGATCTCGTACATAAACGATCCCTCGGTCGCCACCGTCGTATGTGAACGAGAATCTGAAAGGCCGTTATTGTTTAATTAACGACTGCGCGGCCCATTAACGAAGTGGAATTATTCCGGTATATATCGCCGCCGAGCCGCGGCTTATTAACGAATCAACCGATCCGGCCTCGGGGATAATTGTCGGCTTTCTTACATCGCGACATGCGATTCCCGTGGCGATCGCGAAGGGAAAAAGGGCGATTGGCGTCCCTTCACCGATTCTGGGACGCGCGCGATGTAATAAAAGGCCGACAGGTCGGCGTGGCCATATAGTTACTCAACTTGAAACGGGGTTACACATCGATCTTCCAATGCGTGAAGGCGTGTAATCGTAGAGTCGCAGACACATTTGATCACATATATGATTGTGTATGTCTGTGCATTCACATATAAGAGAAAAGCCACATTATATCGTATATGTAAGAGGAAAGTACGTTTTCGTGTAAATGGAAGAGGTGCGACACGCTAATTTCCGCGATAAACTTATTATACATGAACATATGGAATTTTATAGGACCATTAACGCGCTCGCAAGATAATCTCTCCGTTTTACATAATTAATAAAAGATCGCTATTCACATGGTAATTTTTGTCTCTACACGAAAATAATGACTTTACTGAAATTTTAAGTAGATGATACAAATCTGAAAATAATAATTTTGAGAGACCATCAAAATATAATAATTATGTAGAAAATTCAAGATGACCAATGCTGCAAAAAGCTTTGATATTTTAGCAACCAGCTTGAGCGTTTACATAAATATTTAAAAAATTATTTTCAAATCTGTATATGTATATGTGGTGTGTGTGGGTGTGTGTATTTGCTAAATTTTTAAATCATGCTTGAACAAAATCGTTCTTTCCGTACATTGAAAATATTAGGAAATTTTTATAAAGAAAGCAAATTAAATTCTGGAAAGAAAACAGTTGATATCAAAAAATATATCAATTTATAAAGTATAAATAGGGAAACAGATAAACTCTACAAAATACGGGTGTAGATTTAACCATGTTATGTATATAATTATCATCGTGTTGTTAATACTAACACCAACACGGTTTAAGGATTTAAAACTCTTGATGTTTATATCAACATATTTATGACATGGATTCCAAATTCATGATGTTAATCTACACTCATATTTCGTATAGTGTACAAACTATGAGTGTAGATTTAACATCATACGGTTTATATAATTCTCACCATGTTGATGTATTAATATTAACAACATAGAAGATTTAATTAAAACTTTTTGACATTTAAAACCCATGATATTAAATCGATCTCTCTGATTTCTCGCATTTAATTTTCTTAGCATTTCCAAACTTCGACAACTTTCACGTAGAGATGATTTTTCCGCGTGCGAGAAAATATTACGTATATTTTCCGAAAAATTTTCACGGAGATTTCTCGACTTTGCAGAGTCGTGTTCGTTGGGACGGGGCTCCTTTATTTTTAATAATCTACCGGCATTTGCCATCCCTTGTCACCACAAAATCCCGATATTCACCTCTCGCCCACCAGTAATCCTGCCAACTTCCGGTTGCGCCACGTGGCTTCCCCACAGCGATGTTTTGCTTCCTTTCGTTAGTATAAATACCTCCGTGCGATTTCTCGTCCTCATTGAGATTTCTCGGTCCCATTGGGCCCGAATGACTTCCGCCGTTTTAAAAACGCATTCTTGAAATAACTTTTTTGACACAAAATAGCTATATATATTTTAGATATTGATACTGTTTGTTAATAATTCAATATTAATGTATAATAAGTAAATAAACTTATGAAGATGAAAATAATTGACATTCTGTATACTTGTATTAATTTGGAATATTTAATGTTTTAATTGATTATTAATATATTAATTTGCTCACATATGTTAATAATATTAATACACATTTCAATATGTTGATATATTTATTAATAACATTAATAAATATATTAACATGTTAAAACGTGTTAATAATTAAATTATTGTTAATATTATTTACTTAACATTAGAATAAACTCTACGAGTATATATTCATAAATCATGACTATTAATTAAATAATTAAAAGTTACATTTTGATTGATTAATTTAAACTTAGGTTGAATATATGTTTTTAATCTTACATGGAAAGAACGACTTTGTTAAAAAATTTAAAATTTGCAGAGATCAGAAAAATAATTTTATTGAACTATCAAAATAACTTCGTTAGAAACTCAAAATGATTGCTAGAATATAAAAATGGCAACATTGCTCATCATGTTTGAGATTCCTACGTACCTAATTATTTTGAGGTCCGACATTATTTTTAAATTTACACCAGCAAAAGTTTAAATCGATTTTTTCCGTGTACATATTACTTAAATCTTTAACTTACACGAACAATCTGACTTCACAGATGCTGATTCAACAGATGTTTGCTCATGAAAAATATATTAATAATTAAATTGTATCATATTAATTATTAATATAACAAAATAATTATTAATAATTTATTATTAATAATTAAATTACTATAAATATATTATAAATTTCGTTGTATTTAATATTCATAACATTACATTCAGAAGTCAGAACTGCGACGCCCTAGACCTTCGTGCCTCTTTCGCCACAGCTGACCTCCGCGTATGCGGGGTTGATCGAGCGACCAAAGAGATAGGAAACATGACAAAGCGTAGGTGGAAGTCTGGATGGATCGTTCCCGGGGCACTCCTATGGACGCAGGTGACTTACCTGGAAGTCCAATTAGAGGCGATTCCGTGATGGGGAATGAGCGAGCGACTGTGAGTGCGCATAAACGCCGGGCGCGCGCGATCGCGATCGCGAGAACGAGAGGAGCTTACCCACCCCGCCGCCGCCTCTCCCACTCCGGGCAAACGCCGGACCTGCGTGTCGGCAAAATTGGCTTAGTCAGCGGCCACATTACAGTGCATTACAGGGAACATTAACAGGACATTATTGTGTCAGCATCATCTCGCCATCCGCGACGTTACGTATCGAGGCCCCATTCGTGTGATCGCGCTCGTATGTGTTCTTTCGAAGTAAAAATTATAATCTAAGAGAGCTAGAAAAAGCAAAAATTTAATTTTTTACTCGGATATGTATGTATTTTCTTTAGATATGTAACGCCAAATTATTGTTCTAGAATTTCATTTTTACATTTATTCGAAAGATTCTTCTGTGTAAAGATAGCTGTATTTAAAATGTAGTATAATGAATAAAGTTTTATATGAGACTACAAAGGGATTGAGATTAAAATAGAATTTGGCCAATTAAAACAAAGTTCTTTAAATTCGATATTAATTTTTTTTATTCTGAGTGATATTTTTTTTTAATATTATTTTCTTTAGATATATGATGACAAATTATTGTTCTAGAATTCAGTTTTTGTATTATTCAAAAGATTTCTATAATATAAAGATAACTATAAATAATTAAAAATGTAGTAATGACTAGTGTAATGACTAAAGTTTGTATTAGACTGCAGATTAGGATTGAGATTGGATTGGAATTTGAGCAATCAAAATAAAGTTCATTAAACTTGACATTAACTTTCTTTCTTCTAATTGATTAAATTTCTATTATAATCTCAATTCTAATCTATAGGTTTAATTTAAATGACTATGGTCAAGGACATACTTATATTAGATCCAATTTCGAAAAGACATTATCAACTCTTTAGGTATTGTAATAACGTAAAAATATTTCACTCTCGATATTAATTTAAATTTATATATTTAAAGACAGAAAATATCAAATAATATTGCAATAACGTAGAAATAAAACGTTAATTTTAATGATGAATATAAAAAAAAATAAATTCTATATTAAATAAAGTATCTTTAAAAGACAATGTATAATGTGAATACACAATAAATAGGAAATAAAGGTCCTAAACTGGATTTTATGTATAGATATGTTATATATAAATTTACACTAAATTATATTTAAGCACTGAAGATCCAGCTTAGGACTTTTACTTCCTATTTGTTATGAATTGTATATCTTTTTTTTCAGGACTTTCATTAAAACAGGTTTTTTTTACTCATTTCTACAAATCTGTATAATTCACATTATACATTGTCTTTTAAAAGATACTTTATTTAATACAGAATTCATTTTTTTTTTATATTCATCATTAAAATTAACGTTTTATTTTTACGTTATTTCGGTATTATTTGATATTTTCTGTCCTTAAATATAAATTTAAATAGAGTGAAATATTTTTACGTTACTGCAATACCTAATTTCTAATTCAGTTTTTTTTTACACGGAGTAAAAGGAATCTTTTGATTTTTCCATCTCTATAATGCTCTCTGTGTTCGCGGATGCATGTACCCCGCATGGCCGGAGAAAGAAAGAGCGAGGGAGAGGGGGATGTGCTGTAGGTCACGTAGCTCGTGAATCATGCAACCTTACCTTTACCTCGTAAGCGATCGCGACTTCTGAGAAACAGTCGGGTATATATACGAGCACACGTACGCCCACGCGACCCCACGTAACCGAGACCCATACACGGCGCCCGATTCTCCGATATCTTCTCTTCTCTCCCTCCCGCTCTCTCTTTCTCTCTCTATCTATCTCTCCCTCTTTTTCCCTCACCGTGTCCGCGACCTCCGGATAGTCAACCCTCGCCGAAGGTCGCCAAGGCCTCGAGCGCAACGAGGTGACGGATGCTGTTCGGGATAGAACACCGTCCTCGTAGGAACTGGAGTTCGTGGTAATCGGTAGAACGCGGTTCTCGGAATGAAGATTCGTAGGACCTTAATTCGCCGCGGGGAAAGTCGTGGGTTTTTAAAACAGGATTCACGGAAAGCGAGAGAAGTAGAAGCTGCACTTTGAGTTAATAATGAGAAATAATGTAGTTACTACTTGAAACTGTTAGGATTAATATTAAAAGGAAGAATCACGTAACGGAATTATATCTTTCGCGTAAAATAGAATTAGCGAGATTAATGTCAACTGATAAAAATGAATCGCGACGTGAAATTATGTTAATTATATTGTTAAAATTCTGTGGACAAAAAGAGCTTGATGTATACAAAACATCGATTTTATTCTTTAAAAATGAAACTCTGTGTGTGTGTGTGTGTGTGTGTGTGTGTGTGTGTGTGTAACTTAATTTAGTGTTGTACTTGTAAATGATGTTATCTGCATCAGTAAATATTTACTGTTTTTTCAATAATAATACGCTGATTTGCTTTTAGAGGTTGTGACTTTTTACAGATTGAAATACATTTCACTCTTCAGAAAATTATAATTTCTAAGGCTCAATTTATCATTATCTGGTTAATTTCTTGTTAAGTTTAACTTATGTTTCATTCAATAATGGGTTTTATCCATGACATCATCATAAATGAAATCCATTGTGTGTGTGTGAATAAAACGTCAGATTAAGTCTAACCTTTTAAGTTAATCAGAAAATAAAAAACCGCCTAAAGTGAATCATTGCATTATTATTGAAAAACAGTAAATATTCGCAGATAATTACATCAGTTATAAGTACAGTATTGAAATCAATAATAATACTGATTCACTTTTAGAAAGTATGTTTATTTAAAGAATACAATTTTAATATAATTTTATTTAAATAATATAAGAAAGATATATGATAACTGTTTGATTCTAAATAAACACACACGGAAAAATGATGTTATATTAACAGCATTAGCCGATAGAAGTCTAATTGAAGATAATCTTGTTAATTCATTGATATATTAATGAACTAGCAAACAAGCTAACGTTATTTGTCGTTATTTTGACGTTAAAACGAAACACGTCATGCTCTTGTTTTAATAAAATAGTTATTTAGTTAATTAATATTGTCATTAAATTAACAAGATTATTTTCAATTAGACTGCTGATGGCTAATATTGTAAATATAACATCATTTTTTTTAATACACAGTCTTCATATGAAATATTGATATCAGAGAGAATACAATATACGAGTACAACATAAGACTAAAACTTTGGGAAACGTATGTAAATTCGTAAAGGTGTTGTAAATCTACGAATAATATCTGCGATATTAATCTGCAGATAATTTACAGCAATTTGCCCTCATTTTCTATTTAACGGTACCGCAACTTAATAATCCGAGAATTTTGCAGGTAAAGCATCTTTTCGACTTGTCTTTGTTCCGAAGAGTCCAAGATAATCGCCTTCGGTCCCTTTCGCACGCCGTTAACATGAAATATAATGCGATGATGAAAAGATAATGCGACAGGTGAAATTCGCATCCCGCGATGTTGAAAAAGTAGAGATCCAAAACTGATATAGACGACCACTTCGAAAATGCGGAGTGAATTTTAACGATTTTATACGACAGTATATTTGCCACTTAGTATTTGTAAATAAAATTAATATCTCCGCAAAGAAAATAGAACGTTCTATCACAGAAGGTATTTTTGTAGAAAATGTCTAAACGTATTACATATATATTATCGCTCCCTGCAACTTAATTCTTTTATGTAACCATATAAGCCTTTTTCCTTAATTATTTGACTATTCGTATAACAGTTTAATTGAATTTATTATTGTTAATTTTTTTATTCATGTCAATCCCTCTTTTAAAGGGAATATTATTCAAAAATAAGTGAAGAAGGTCATATTCGATTAATAGGTCAAAGCGATTAATAGATACTATGGCTATAAACAGGTATTATGAAGACTTAAATTACCTGTCAATTTAAATTTTAATATTTCGTACTCCAGCTTCAATTTAGGACTGTGTTTTAAAACCGATAAATAATCGGGGCGTTTGCTTAAACTGGAAATTATTAGATTTATGCAAAAGTATTATTAGGTACCAAGACCCACTTTGACCGAATATAATCTTCTTCACTTATTTACATTACATTTCTCGGTTAATTTTCACTTATCATGATTTGATATTATAATGTGATACAATATGTAATAACATAGTGCATATGCTTGCAAGCTATTATTAATCCGTTATTATAATACTATTTCTACGAGTTTGTTTCCGTGACGTACCCGGTAAAATTACGCGTGGGAGGGTAACGCGTCTCGTCTGGGGGTAATGCGTTTTAATTTAGGAAAGAGTTGGAAGGACATGCGGAATATCCTAGGATGTGTGTGGAAATACGCGGGAGTAGTGAGGTATGACAGTAACACAACATCGGAATGGCCGTTCTTTGTCCACCTACCTTGAGTGCGATTATTCTTCGCGCTCATTATCCGCCCGTTCCACGAATCCGTAGGTTTCTCCGTAAAATGCGTCATAGGATCGGCGCGAATTACCGTCAACAGAAAATGTAACGACCCGTATTCCTTTTTTTTTCCTTCTGTGCTTTTTATTAAATTGACAGTTCCGGTAAAATAGCTCCTGAGAATATTTTCCCACGAAGCTGGTTTTATTCCCGTCGCAAAACACAACACGCGGCGATAAGTTTCCTGTTTTCCTGCTGCCTTCCCTCCTTTCCTCCCGCAAGATAATATTTTGCATTATCGAATGTAAATGTGCATTATCGAAAAGTAAAATATCACTGTTTCTATTTTTGAAAGTTATGCGAAGACGTAATTTTCAAGAATAGATGTTTGAATGGGAAAATTATGCTATTATTAATTATTAAACAAAAAAACATCATTTTACATTTGAATCTTCAGAGGCAAAAGTATAAGTATGGTATTTAACGATTCTCATGTTTTCCTATTTTTATTCACATTTTAAATTTCATATGTTGCATTTCACTGTGTTTATACTCTTTAAATAATTATTACATTGTACGCTCTTCATTGCCTCCTACTGTTAAATTTAT